GGAGATCATCTGGCACTGATTGCAGTAGTAAATAACACTAAAAAGACCCTGCCGATGTCCCAGACCGTCACCACCCATTCACTCTCTCATTACTTTGGTTACATGCCTATTGTAAAGATTTTTAGCGGTACAGGAAACCGGAGCACCCAGAGGAAACCTATGTCATATAGTTTTGAACCCCTGCGGCTCTTTTCGTAGCAAAGCGAACATTTCCCCACTGTTGGACAAATAAAGAATCTCTTATCCCTTGTCTTATCATTTTCGTATGAGCCTTTTTGGAAGACAGCTTTGTGTGTCTTTTCATATAATGTATATCCCCAAACATCACTTATAGTCTGTTTGATTGAGCCCTAACACTTGTCTTCTGGTGAGTGAGAATGACAGGTTATTTAGTGCTGTTTTGATATGTGAGCCTCAGGAATGCCTGCAGATACAGTGATCCCTCTGTCTGAGGAAGAAGCTTCATAGATGAGGTAAGACTGCTCACAGCTATGAAACAATATCTGAGAGACATTAAAAGACGCTTTCCTCCGTTTCATGCTCCTTTCAGCTCGACCAGGTGTTCCCCTCGCCATGCAGAGGTGAAAAGGTGGAAATACTAACTTATAGTATATCCACATGTCTCTAAAAGGTTTTCATGTAAGTCGTCAGGTTGAGTTTTTCTCTACACCTGTATACGTTTGATCTGTTGTTTTAGTAAGAATGAGGATTATTTTTATTGCTACTGTAAGAAACAGGAAGTCCACAAACTAGGAATTTGGTTTGGCTCATGATGCAAACAAGTTAAGAAAGTAAATGATCGTTAAAGGCATGCATACAAAATCTTCATAACATTTTTTAAGACAGGTTAAAGTGGCAGTAGTATAAGGTGACGCAGGCATGGCAAGGCATGGCAAGTTTATTTGTATAGCACAATTCATTCACAAGGCAACTCAAAGTGCTGAACAAGATAAAATAGCATTAAAATCATAAATAATCACAGAACATTAAAAAGAAAGATAAAATATAAAATCCCTCAGTTGTAGCACAGCTAAACAGAACTGGTTTTAAACATTGTCAGAGAGGAGGCTTGTCAAACACTTTCAGGAAGATTGTTCCAGATTTTAACGTTGTAGAGGGCCTAGTGATGAGTTTGTTAACACATAGTGATAATCAATTGATTTAAGAAACATAATTTGCAAGTCAGACATGTAGCTTGGTTGGTTAAAGACTTTTATGAGTTCAATACCTAATAATATACTGAATCTGATATCTCATATTTACATGTATTTATTTATTGTGTATTTGGTTGAGACAGTGTATGTCAGCACTCTCAGTTGCCTTCTTTATGACCTATGCTATATACTGTAAATAAACTTGCCTTGCCTCATCTTGCAATGTTAATGAACACACCTCTCCAGATTGTAGCCTTGGGCTAATTTGCATTCTTTGTCTCACAGTCATTCTCACAAACACACTCATTGCCCTTTTACGCCTGCATGTATTGTTTTGACCTCCGTCACATCAGCTGAAAAGGGGACCACTTACTTTACTATAGGGATCTCAAACGCATAACAAGGCACAACAAAATAAAATCAAAATATATAGTTGTCCAATGCTGTGGAGGACTTTAAAAGCAAACATAATGATTTTAAAGTCAGTCTGTGGTAAATGAACTTCTCTAAATATAGATATGTGTAAGGCTCCCACACCACCACACCAGCCCATGAATTACGGTATTATTCGAGTGGAACATTCAGTAAATAAATGAGAAGTATTACATTATAGCTTCTATTTGTGCAATACTGACAAAGTGAACATAGGAGAAATGTGTAAGCAGAGATTTCCAGATCAATGGAATAAGTGAATTACTCTAAACACAACTGAGAATGGAACATAATAACAACAAATTTAACAGATGTTTCTTTTAAAAGACAAACGGTACAAACTCTTGAATTGGACTTTTCGATGTGAGCGAAGTCAGTCACATTTCCTGTATAACCTGCTTCGACTCAAGAAAATGACACATAATTGCTCTGTCTTCATCATTTCCTTCATTACAAAGATAACTTGTGTTAGCTGTTGACCTAATAGAAGTTCAAAGAACCTTTAATTACACTTGACATTTACCAATCATTTTTCTGATCTTCAAAACCAATTAAAACAATTTGACAGGCATGTATTTGTATTTATTTTGTATATTATTGTTCAGGCTCCATCTTGTACAACTGGATTGGAATTAGACCTAGTTTTAACAGCTATATTCATAGTTTAGTTCAACAGGATTATGTCACTGACTATACGTGTACAGAGAAAAAGGACTGCCGTATGCAACGCAATATCAAACAAACACTGTCTTTGCACAACTCTTTCACACCAGTCAGAGTCAAAATCAATCACTGTGTATGGACTCAATTCAGCTTTTCTCACAAACTGGTCGGACCACTCTTGTCACAGTCCACATACAGCACATGGCACATTATCCGACAAAACAGTGTGCTTTGCGACACTTTCAAATGTGTTTTGTCGCTTGCTTTAGTACTTAAACATTGGAACTGCAATTACAATTATAACCGCTATAAAACATCCAGTATAATCATGTATTCGGCAAATGCAATCATGCAACATGTCGTTTACTCTATGGGCCTTTGATTTGTGTGAAATTATGTTGCTTGATGTAACAAAACCAAAACAATTCAGAATGTGCATTGTGGGACTGTATGCATTATCACAGTGTGTAGCTAACATACGTCCAAATATGTAGATATCTAATACTAGGGTAGCCTTTCCTGTGCGCTGAGAAATACATACTGTATGCTTGTCTTGTCAAAGGCGACAGTAGCTCAGTTGGTAGAGCATTGGCCTTTGAGCCTGAAGGTTGTGGGTTCGAGCCCACCGTAAGACCTACTTCACGACTCCCACTGATGACTGCTGTCGTTGTGTCCTTAGGCAAGACACTTAACCCCACTTTGCCTGAAGCTCCCACTGAAAGATCTCAGCTCCTGTGGACTCACCAGCTGCAGGAGGATCAGTGAGGGGCTGGTGCTCTGTGTACTGGGTGGCATCTCTGGCCACCCCCCCGACCCAGAAATGGATTAGGGGGGAGACAATGGATGGATGGATGGATGCTTGTCTTGTCTCAGTAGCATCAGGTTTACATGTTGGATTAATGAGATTAGAAAAGGCCTTGACCATCTATACTAAAAGGAGTTGGTGAAACTACACTCTGTCGAACCACAACAAACTTTTTACATAGAAAAGAAAGAAAAGAAAAACAAACACCCTCACTCAGAACAATCAACTCTCAGCCCAAAGCACCAACCAGTGACTTACAGGGCTCTTTCTCACACGTATGCAAAACAAGAATGTTTATTATATGCACAAAACAATACTTTTTTATGTTAAGGCACACAATGTAATGTTGGCCATTTAAATAAAGACCTTTTAAGATGTCCTTCTGTGGCCTGGATAGTTTAGTCAGATTAGGAGTTCCTAGTTTACACAAAATGTATTCTTCAGTGGTGATGGTCCAGGACATTCGACATTCAATGACATTTATGGACATTGGTCATCCACCCCTTATGGATCAATGGCTCTATGAGTTTTTTTTAACTGTGAACTGTGAACTGTACTTCTCTGATCTGTGTTGGCAAATTTAACGGTTTTGTAAAGATACCAAGATAACTACTGTTGTGATTTAGGGCTTTACAACATTTTTTTAATTGAATTGAAGAAGAGGATAGCTAACCCAGCTTTAATCCCATGCTTTAATCTTCTTACCTACATGTGTTTCTTCTAAAGACCTGTTCTGTAATGTTATTCAAGCCTCATATTTCTTATTTTAGGTTATTTGTTATTAGTCGACACAACCCAAACAGTCACTAACTGCAGATAGCAAAATGCTTTCTTAAACGCTCTTCAGAGTCCTGCTAATGTATGGAGCTTCAGAAAGACTGTCTCCACGTGTGCTTGGATATGAAAGCCTGCATGCACCGGATGAGAGGACAATAACTCAGTGTGACTCTAGACATTATCCAAAACCAAAAGGACAAAGGGATTGCCTTAACAACAAGTAAAAACACATTTCAGCTGCTATGAGAAAGTTAGCCTCAGATCTAAAGCTCTGTGAAGTCATTGGTGATCATAATGACATTTTTTCTTGCACCCATATCAATAGTAATTTCTTCTTTTCCTGCAGCAGAAGCTTGGACATAGACGCTGGCAGCGCCCGGTCCCACAGAGTGTGGAGCAAAGGAGGAAATCAATAGAAAAAAAATTGCTGCAGGCTCATACAATCTTATCTTGCTTTGAACGAGTCAGCTTTAATTTTGCTTTGATCTAAATTTTCTGCTTTTGGTATAGCATAGCAACACACTGAACAAGGAGGAATAAGCATCTTCCGCAATGGCCCTTCGTTTTACAAAAGACCCTTTCAACTACCGGCTTTATTTCCCCTGTGCATCAATGTCCATTACAAGAATGTTAGGTTGAAAGAATCAAAACAAATACTACAGCAGGATTTGGTGAACGAGACAGTTTTGCAACCGCATTTTATCTTTTCATGCCATGGAGGAGTCACGGCCTGGCAGAGGAAAATGTTGGACAATGTTATAGCGAGGAGCCACAGATAAAGAGATCTTGTGTTTCTGTCAGAAATGGCCCGACTTTGGTGAAAATGACGCGTATGCTGCAGTTGTTCTCACTGCCCATACACCCAGACATCATTAAAACTGACACACCGACTCCAATGCAGCATTTGAACATCACCTATGTCTGCTATAGAAGCCTCATCCTCCTCCAAAACTATGACGCATTCTTCCAAGCGGCTGTTGTTTGGGAATTTGTTTCTCTTTTCCAAAGCAGAGACAAAAGATAGGGATAAATGAGCAGGCAGAGAAAAGACTAGCACCATGCTGAGAAGAAAAGGAAGGCTCTAATCTAATTTGGTGGAAGGATGTGCGTATGTGTGCGTGAGTTTATGTGTGTGTACGTGTATGTGTGTGTGTGTGTGTGCATGTCAGCGCTGCACAGTGAGAGGGACTGTGGGAATGGGACAGAAGGCTTCGCTGCTGAAAAGCGTCTCCAGGGCCAGGAGCAGTGGGGAGCCTCCCTCAGACGCGCTCTGTCCGAGTCGGGCCACTCAAAGAGGGATTAGACAGAGAAGGCCTTTCCTGATTAGCAATTCACACTCAAGTGCCCCGCAAGGACCCTGGCTAATAATATCACCATCAGTGCTCTTCACCTCCACGCCAATCAAATGTTTACTCTCCTTTTTGACTTTGTTCCTCTTCAAGTATAAGATTGGATATACTAGATGGGAGAACTTTCTCAGTATTTTGAATTTATATTGAACAACTGTGGGCATGAATACAGGATGGTTCACTGACACTCAAACCAGGGAGATCAGGTCAAACTAAAGCTATTACCTCCACTTGGTTACAGCTATATTTTTTAATTTTAATTACTTTTTGAATTTTAAATAATTTTGAACCCGAGTAAAAGTGTTTTGGTAAAGGTAAATTTTTTAAGGTTGTCAGGTATAATTTGGAATCCAGGAATTTGATTTTGACATATCTGATCTGGCCCTTTGATATCCTCACATATCTACAACCCACTTTACTGCTGTCAACACAAACACGTGAGCGTGGAAGAAAGGTTCATTTTATAGATCCACTTGTGTTCATTTAAATATCTGCTAATCAAACAATACATTCAACTATACATTATTTTGATAATAAATGCAGGTTTCAAATGAATAAACAAACAGGCTTGTGTTGTAAGGCCAAAACTTTTGTTGATTAAAAAGCGGTGCACTGATGCATTCATCTCGATTTAAAAAAGAACAGACGGAAAGGAAGGGGTGATATATTACTATACTATACTATATTTCTTCTCACTCACAAATATAGTACCTTTTCAACCGCAGTAATGTATAAGATAAACCTTTATACACAATAATTCACTTTTCCACCACAAATAACACAAGTCTGTGAATGACAGTCTTCATCAGTGTTTTGTAATCATCTACCAACCTTTGCAGTTCAATGCTTTTGGTCTTGAGCTGCTGAACTCCCACAATATTCCTTCCTTCTTTCGACTCCTCCGCATGATTCTTTTTTTCTCCCCCTTATGCAGCTAAACAACCGCCACATGAAAGAGCATGATTTAAGAAGACCAACCCACTAAACTAATATTGCCGTTTCAAAGCCACATCAGCCCAGATGTTATTGGGCTGTGCGACAAACTAAATTCATTTCAGCAATGTTTATAAGCACTGGTTGAAAGCTTCTCGGTCATATAAAAGTCTGCCATGCTTATAATTACACTAATCTTCTCCATAAACACTTAGGGTCACAGTAACTCGGTGACTTCCTCTTATCAAGCGCAGCACACAAATAGCCAAATGGTGCTTTTAACAAATGGGAAAACAGATATGTAACGACATATTTTAATTGAGTAAAAAGAGCTGTAAACAAATTAATTGTATAATTTAGAACTCATTATTGAGCTATTCTCATCATAGTGCGCTCACCAGGCTTTGATGTTGGCATACTTAATAAGTAATAGTTTGATCCTATAGACTAAAATCATCTGTTTTTGAAATGGTACATAAATACATTATTGATTATAAAGATACTATCTTCTCTTTTAATCACTTTACTAACCAAAGCCTTGTGCCTTCACTCCCTTTCCATATCAAAGAAAATGTTTGCAACAGTCAAAACAAACATAATGCTCTGCTACTTCCAAATAACAAATGCCCAAAGATGTTATTTTGTACGTTTTCGCAAGTTTTATTCCTCTAGACATAGCCTTTGCATAAAAATACTATGGTAGAACTCCTAAATGTGGCACAAACTTCAAAAGTAATTCTCTGTATCCTGATTGATGTGATATTGCTTGCTCCATATGACATCCATCTGCCCTTGGTTTAATTACACTGTATTGCTCCAGAGAGTGGGAATCTCTGATTGGCTGAGAGCTCTTTCTGCCTGAAAAAGTTGTTCAAAAGCTCTGAAACCACATTGACTCAATCTGACCTAAACCTCTGGAAAAGAAACAACTAATTATCTAACTCATTAATCTATTTAATGTATTTAACTTGTGAATCAATGTGTTAACCCTTTAATACCAAAACAATTCTGCAGAACTGCTCCACACTTTCTCATGTGTGCTATTCCCAAAAGGAATCCATGTAATTTGATTAGTAAATTGACTAACATAAATTTTGGTCGACTAGGAAACGGTCTACGTCAGTCTTCTGTTTCAAATGAAGGGAACTGACTGAGTTATGTGGGGCAGGGTGCATGGCCAGCTACAGTAAACACTTCAGACTGACAGCCCTAAAACAAGCAAGAACCTCCATAAACCTCTAAATGTATTCATGCTTGTTTCCAAGGAGATGATTCCATGTGCTTTTTGTTTGTACTAATTTTTAAGATAAGAACTGGTCACAGAACTGGTTGGCTTTTTGTTGTATTACTACTTTCAAGGGTATGAGTTTCCAGCTCCTTATCGTTTTTGTATCCACGTGTAAAATACCTAAACAGTAGTATACTGTAAACAGGACAAAACAGATAAATACTGTCTGTATGTTAGTACTACATGTTTCGGAACTACAAAGATATATGTATTTAGTTACTATTTTGTCATGTTTTGCTACAGACAAGAACAGCAGACCACTATATGAAATCTATTGTATTTTCTTCAGCTAACAATAAGAGCTTTTGTATTTTAGTCTAGAGTTGTGCTTTACTTAACATTCACTTATAATACACTGTGTGCTCCTAATTTCTACCGTTCTGTAAATTGTGATGCAACAATTATAACACTGGTAAACATTTTTGGTATTGCTGCATTTTTGTATTTATTTTAAAGGTATATAGGAGGATTTTCTACTTCCGGGTGGATCCTCAAGACTATTGGTCCTCCCAATTGTCAATCATTCTGGTGATACGTTCTCGTCAAATAAGACCAGAGAGTTTTTCTGTGTGAAGAGGGCGTTTTTTTCCTAAATTTTGGGGAAATCCTCCTATACCTTTTAGATTTGATAAAATGGTGAATTATCTCCACATACATCATATAATAGTCCATGTCCTTAGTACCTGGCTCAAACAGTTTGCTTCCACATGCATGTATTTTTAGTCTTTGTCAGATTTTTCAGACTGAAAAGTGCAAAGAGATGACCATCGTTCAACAACTGATAGAAAGTAATTGTAAATATGTGAATCTTTGTGCTAACCTAGTCGTTAGCTTTTTGGCTTTATAAGTTGGGACAAAGAAAGGAAGTTAGGCACCCAACTTTAAATCTGAGTTGTTGTAACAATCTTGAAAGTACTTTTTGCTCACCGTACTTAACCTTCAGCAGCACTATTACTTCACCAGCCTATCATCTCCTCATTACCTCATACTGACTGTATTGTCCAAACAAGCAGAGGGCTGTGATAAAGTGGAGAATCCTGATCTAAACGCTGAATGGCTGCTCTCAGGAGGGTGTACAGGATCCGGGGACAATGCGAGGGCCGACCGGACAAATAGCCTCACCTCCAGCTGAGTGTGTTGTTTCTTCTCATTGTGCTGCATGAAAGGGGAGAGGAGGGCCTTGCTTAAGAAGATTATAGCCCTACCCCACCCGTACGTTTAATCAACATGCCCTTTCAGAGCAGCCAACAATGCCAAACATGTCCAAAACGTCACCCATCTTCTCCCCATAGCATACCGCACATGTTGGGACAAAATACCCATCCGTAACCACTATAGTTAGAGAAAGGAGAGCCTGCTAATTTAGGACCTGTTCAACAACGTCATTTTGGTACAGACCTAGGTCATCATCATTACGGTATCACATTCGCTGCTTTTCAAATCAACTCAAATATCAAAAGCTTTTGAGACTGGTGGACAACAAGCTAACAGTGCAACGTGTATTTCTACGAAGTTTAAATGGGTCTGTGAGAATGTCTTATGCTCATGAATCAATAGGCTTCTAGAATATTTTAGTGAGTTATTTTTTTTTATTAAGGCGACAGTAGCTCAGTTGGTAGAGCATTGGCCTTAAGGCCTGAAGGTTGTGGGTTCAATTCCCACCTCTACACCTTCTCCACCGACTCCCACTGATGACTGCTGTCGTTGTGTCCTTGGGCAAGACACTTAACCCTACTTTGCCCAAAAAGCCCCCACTGTAAGATCAAGGCAGCTCAGAGAGCAGCCGTCCTCCTGTGGACTCACCAACTGCAGAGGGTCAGTGAGGGGCTGGTGCAATGAGACTTGGGTGGCATCTCTGATTGCCACCCCCCTGACCCAGAAATGGATTAAAGGGTAGAAAATGGATGGATGGATGGATGGATGGATATTTTTTTTTATTTCCCATGACTAAAAAAAGATAAACACTGTGACGCTGTGTCTTAAAGAAAAGCAAAAGCTCTTTCAAAGCTATAGTTTTTATCCATAGTTTTATCATCTTCTGAGAGTCGAGAGCGCTAACGATCATGTTGTTATTTACTTATTGGTAGTAAAAATTCAATGAATAATACGTTTATAAGATTCCTATTTCCCTTTCAACATTCATATCAATAAGTTCTTACGATTATAAGTAAGTGTTCAAGCATAAGGTAATGATACGATAGAGCAGACCAGCCGTCACTTTGCTCACTGTCCAATACACTCGCTCTCATCAGCTCAATTTCCAAGTTTGTAATTTAGTGCAACTGTGATAATGAAGAGACGGAAAATGTGTCTTGTTTTCCGTCTGTCGAAGAATGTCATCATCCTGATAGAATATTTGATATGTATCTAATTTTTGCCTGCACAAACAAAAAACTAGATTAGCTCCAACTCGTTTTATACTGATCCAAATTCCCCAAAGAACCCGTTTTGTGCTTGCCCTTCATTTTTTTTCTTTCATCCATGCTTAAATATGTAAATAAAATGTCTAAAGTCATTCTTCAAAGGGGGAACAAAAGAAAAAAAGAGGGCTGTGGGAGAAGACAGCCATAAAATTCCTCCGATTCTCCATAACATTAGCCAGAGGGGGGCCAGCTCCCAGCCTGAGCCTAGCAGCAGGGGTGCACGCTTGCTCCATAGAATCACACATCTCAAATCCCACACACAAAAAAATAAAATATCTTTTCAGCTTCAGCCATCAAAGCGCCCCATCCCTCCTCCTTTTTTCACTTTATTAGTTACAGAATTATCTCACTTGCTGATTTCTGCGATGGAAGTGCCGCCTCGCCTCCTTCCCTGTTGTGGTTTGCGAAGATGAGATCAAACATGGCTAATGCTTTATACCGTAAAAAAAAAATGAATTCATTGACGTATTATTAATTGTTGAAGAAGTAGGAGTGGATTTGTCAAATAATTTTGTGTCATCACTGAGACTATCCAGAAGACTAAGGAAAGTGTGAAGAAAGATGACGAATTCAAAGTTATCAGACCGTGACCCATTAAGTCCACAAACTACATAACGAGGAAACAAATCATATTGTAATATTTTTCTAATGTAGAAGTGGTGAAAATTATACAAAAGTTAACCAAATATACCCAAGATTTGACAAACAAATGCTCAGTCTACACCCCCACTAGTCAAAATAACTGAAACAGTAGCATTACTAATTGCATTTAACAAAAATAAATAATACCATATTTCTTTAGTTTAGCTCCAAAGAGTTTCAATGTCAATCTGGGGTAAACAGTTGGACTTTTTAAGAAAAATCAGCTGGAATTACATAAAATACCACTACTACTATGAAATGTACTATCGCAACAATTATACCCATCTTTAATTACTCATTACTTGGACTATGTTGCTGATATTAATCCATAATCATCAAAGCCCTACCTAAATAGTAACCACTAGACACTTCAAATATTGGCGCGACACTTTCCAGGCTTTGCTTTGTGAATGAAACCAGCAGAATTATGAAAACAAAAACGAGATGAATGAAGAAGGATTGTGAGAAATTCTTTGGTCAATTGTATCACCTCTGTTATTACACCAGAAGGCTGAGCGGATATATGTGCCTTGACCAGAGCTGCACAAAGACTCTGATTTTAAATGATTCCTCTCCACATTAAAGCTGTCACTGCTTTTTGTTCCAGCCTCATAATACAAGTGTATAATACAGAGGGAGAGGGGGGTCATAGGCCTATCAGCTGTTGTCCTTGGCTTTGTAAAATGGCCTTAGTATGGAGAAACAATGTCATATCTTTTTTATGTCAGTTCCCTTTCAACTTTTCAAATGATCAATGACATGTTTTGTTTGTTTTGTGCTATACATTAAAGCTGCCGTACTAAACTTTTTTGTGGTTTTTATAAATGGATAAGTTTGTCCCAACAGAAAGAGTTTTGTTTACCATCTTTATCTGACTATAAAACATGTAATAGCCTTTATGTCAGACACAGCAGTGCTCAGTTAGTTCTCGCAAAAGCCTGATTCTCGTCACTGACTTGACATGTGACAGTAACGAGCCAAAAATACATGCTACATGTAAAGACTGTACTCGCGAAAAATGAACGCAGCACCGCTTTGTGACCCAGGCAACTACTTTATTGTGGTTCTTCGAACAGGCGCTTAGGTACTGTATAAGGTCAAGCTATAGAGCCCAAAATAACAATAAAGGTTAGGGTTAAGATTTTCATATTTCAGGTGATTCTCCAAAGCGTAACACTTAAACATACTTCCAAGTGGAGTGCTCTTTCAGTTATGTATGAAAACAGTCGACCTTTTGGGCACTTGATGTGCATCTGGTATATAAACAAATGTGTTCAGAGACAGTCAATTCAACAATTAAATGCTTCAATCTTCAACAAACAAAGCATTTTGAATATAGCAGCTGATTGTGTGAAACCTGAGAGAGCCGCAGGTGCTGGCTCGTTCTATATAATACCCGATCATTTGTTGCACGTTGTGAGCCTTGACCCAGCTGACAATGCCACTTGTAGCGATTATTGGACGATGCTTATACCCCCGGCTTTCTGCCGCACGCAGCACTGTAGCCCACGTCTTCACATTCTCACGCCCAACGACACAAATGTCTCAAAACTTTTTATGCGGCAACTTTTAGTCTCTCTTCATTAAAACGTCCCTTAAAAAAATAGCGCGCACTAGTGTTTACAACCGACTCCATGCCTCGCACGAAGCGGATGCCAGAAGGTCCCAGACATGCACAAGGGTAAGATCGAACTGTCTTTAGTTCATCCAAATGAGTCATACGTCGGTAGCTCAAACCTCCACACGGAATTGGCCTTAGCACCTCAACATTGGTGGCTACCGACCGCAAATGGCCTTCTTCGGACTTTCTTAATAATTTTACAAAACTAACCTCTCTACTTGTGCCCGGACTTGTTCACCACGTCTTTGGTTGTATTGACTTCAGTGGGCAATTAAGAAGATGACAACCACCCAAACCATCCATTCACAGGCCGAAGGGGAGCATTTTGGACTAAGCCCGGAAGTGGACTGTGCATACCATACCAACCACAATTTACTCAGGCGATTACGACAAGTCAATCATTGGCCTTTGTTTTGAAGTCGTGTTGGATAGAATTTTTTCATTGCCAGTTTTCAACTCGATGACGCGTGCAACAACATATTGTGTATTCATCCGTCATGTTTTCAATACAACAACGCCGTCAGCACCGTAGAAGAAGCAGCGTGGTGCTATTGTGGCATTTGGACTTCTAAAGACATATCAAGAGAAGTAACCATCTAGTATTTACTAGTAGTTTTACTCGGCTAAGCTCGAGTAGTCCTGTAGACCAGGGGATTAGTGCGAAAGCACAGAGAGGCTCAGAGCTCTTGATCTGCCTCACCAATCGCAATCGGGTGTTACTTCTAGCTGTATGGAAAAACCTGCTAAGAAGTACAGATGATGGTGAGAAACCTTCCTTTGCTTTACTATATACTATTCTATTTCAGATTTCAATTTAAAAATCCCCGACTGATGACATGTGATTGTAGAGATCATTATTTCAAGCAAGTCGAGGTCTGTTTTTTTTTTTCATGAGAGCGCAATGTTACAACAAGACAGAAATTGTTGATTTAGCATATTATGTCTCTTTTAAACTGACAGGGAGTAGACCTGTCTGTTATCTTACTTTCACTTTTAGTTACTGTGCCGTTGGGTTTATCCAATGACACCCTTGTAGGTTCATCTGATGACCATTATTCTTTATTTTGTTTGAAAATTGTGCCACACTTTATATATATCGCTGTTATTGTATTGCACCTTATTGGACTATATTCAAATGTGTATTTTGGTAACTTCCGCTTTTTATTTAACTGTATTTTAATATGTTTTTTAGTAATTTGCACTTTTATTGAACTGTATTATCATGTGAGTTACTAAACTGATTTTTTTCATTTGAACTGTATTATAATATGCAAGTTATATGATTGTATTGGCAAGGATTTCTTGCTTAATCTGGTGCAGCCATCTTTTTAACTAAAACTAAACTCATCCTCCAAATGTTACTCTGCTCTTTACTGTACACATCACTCGGCTTGCTACAATAAAAGAGGCCTACCTTATGTAGTAACTTTGGACAAAGCCAGCCCCAAGCTTTGATTGAGATATGCCAAACCCATGGGTAAAATCACTCCACATTTGTGCCCTGAGGAGAGAAGTGAAGGAAGAACGTGTTTAGTGTTTCTTGTTTTTTTTTTTTTTTTTTTTTTTACTTTTTTTAAACAGGGACAGTGTACAATAAACATTAACCCCAAGGGGATAGATGCATTGTACCAAGTTATAGCTCAAGAGCTAATTTCCACCCGTAGTCCCTGGACACATAAATATAACTTTTTCTTAATCCATCAAAAAGAGTATTGTAAAAGTACCAAATCAGACCATATCATTTATCTCATTAAACATGTTATCATTTTCATACTAAGAAAGGAAGCAAGAAAGTGCCCAGTGATTGCCCGGAAAAGTAGTCCCTCAAAAAGCTGATCTAAAAATGTGACAGAGGCCACAAATATGAAAACTAATTATAGAAACAACCTGGTTGAGAGCAAAAAAAACATGTGAATGGATTACATTGTTCCACTTTTGTAGTATAAAAGTTGGGTACTCCAGCTTTAAGTGATGTTTTCTTTATCCCTATTCAAGCGCATTGACAAACAACTACCTGCAAATAAACACGTTGTCAATGTTAGGCTAACGTTTTGTAAAGGCATCAAAATAGGCGCAAAAAAAACGAAAATAAAGCTAATCTACAAGCCTAAAAAAAGAGTAGAGAGTAATGAGCAAACTGTTCCGCACGATTTGAAAATAATCCGCGTGTCAGTGTCGTCTTTCTTATGCAAAGTAGGTGTCTTTGAAGGCGGATCTTTTGGCAGGTTGGTCCGGGGACTGGAGCGCAGACGGGCTCAGAGCAGCGCTGCCTCCAAACGCACAAGAGCGTCAGGGAAACACGGCACCCGGGCGCGTTTCCGACTCGCCAAATCCTGCTAGTTTTTGTCGCCTTTAAAATAACAATCAGCTGCCCCCGAAGTGACCAGCTTACCCAGGACTCGAAGAATTGCTTTTTTCTTCTGCTTTGGGCAAACTTACCACAAGAGGACTCAGCGTGCCTTCCTTTCTCCTCAGTTCACGGAAAGTGTGAGAGGAGCGCAGACAGACAACAGCGCGTTTTGGATTATTGGACGATTTAAATAAGCGTTTTTTTTATTTTTTGTTTGTTTTTCTCACGCAAATTACATTGGGAAACTAGGAAACTGAAGCAAAGTGGTTTTCAACATGGAACAGTCGTGTGCCCTCCGCGGGGAAAAGCACACGGGACCCACGCTGGATTTGTGTTGAACTAACATGGGACTGATTCACGTGTAAGTTCACTTGTCTTAACCTTAACATCGAAGCTACCACTTTTCCGCCCTACTCCTAAAGTTTTGCTTCAAGACAATGTGTTGTGTCAAACTCACTCTCCTCTCCGCACTGCTGCTGATGTTGGGAAGCAGCTGCGCCTCTGCTATCAGCTCCATAGACCCGGACTGGTCAGGGGAGGGCAGATGTCAGCATATAAGCATCCCCCAGTGCAAAGACATTGGCTACAACATGACTCGAATGCCCAATCTAATGGGACACGACGACCAGAAAGAAGCAGCCATAAAGCTACAAGAGTTCGCCACCTTGATTCAATATGGATGTCATAGCCACCTCAAGTTTTTCCTATGTTCATTGTTCGCCCCTATGTGCACAGAACAAGTGTCAAACCCCATCCCCGCCTGCAGAGCCATGTGTGAGCAAGTCAAACTGAAATGCTCTCCAGTTTTAGAGCAATTTCAAATCCCATGGCCTAAATCATTGGACTGTTCGCGCCTGCCAACTAAGAATGACCCTAATAACCTCTGTATGGAAGCTCCAAACAACGGCTCAGATGAACCCCCAAAAGTGTCCCACACGCAGCCTCCAGACTTCAGACCGCAGCGGCCTCTCGGTGGCCAGGAGTTGCCTTTAAAGGACAGTAGTGGCAGACCTCCATGCACTAAGTCAGGCAAGTTCCACTTTGTTGAGAAAAGTGAATCTTGTGCCCCCAAGTGTTACCCGAAAGTGGATGTGTACTGGAGTCAGGGTGACAAGCAGTTCTCTCTGGTGTGGATGGCCATTTGGTCTATCCTGTGCTTTGTCTCCAGTGCTTTCACAGTGCTGACTTTCCTTATTGACCCACAGCGCTTCAAATACCCAGAGAGGCCCATAATTTTTCTCTCCATGTCCTATTGCGTCTACTCCGTGGGCTACCTTATTCGGCTTTTTGTGGGCGCTGACAGAATAGCCTGCGACAGAGACAATGGCGTCCAGTATATCATCCAGGAGGGCCTTGAAAGTACTGGCTGCACCATTGTGTTCCTCATCCTGTATTACTTTGGCATGGCCAGCTCACTGTGGTGGGTCATCCTCACCTTAACATGGTTCTTGGCTGCAGGCAAGAAGTGGGGCCATGAAGCCATTGAAGCCAATAGCAGCTACTTTCATTTAGCAGCTTGGGCTATTCCAGCAGTAAAGACTATTTTGATTTTAGTTATGCGCAAAGTCGCTGGAGATGAGCTCACAGGCGTCTGCTATGTGGGCAGTATGGACGTCAAAGCACTAACAGGCTTTGTGCTTATTCCTTTATCGTGTTACTTAATTATTGGCACTTCTTTTCTTTTATCCGGTTTTGTCGCTTTATTCCACATTCGCAAGATTATGAAAACTGAAGGCGAGAACACGGACAAACTTGAAAAACTCATGGTTAGAATTGGAGTATTTTCCGTCCTTTACACTGTACCTGCCACTTGCGTCATCGCTTGCTACTTCTACGAACGCCTAAACATGGACTATTGGCGTGTACTGGCCCATGATAGGACATGTGTGAATAGCACTGGCCCAGATACAAATGAGTGTGTCATGAAAGCGTCTATTCCAGCAGTGGAGATTTTCATGGTGAAGATCTTTATGCTGTTAGTGGTGGGCATTACCAGCGGCATGTGGATCTGGACTTCCAAAACACTACAATCTTGGCAAAATGTCTTCAGTAGAAAATTGAAAAAGAGAACAAGGGGGAAGGCTGCCCCAAGTAGCGTGTTCACAAGCAGCAGGTCCTACATCAAACCTCCCCAATCACTTAAAGGGCACAACACAAAGTACGAGCCCACGCGGCAACCCCCCACCTGCGTTTGAGCCAAAAATAAACTTATAAAAGCTATGATTACAAAAAACAGAAGGAACGGCCTTGTTTGGTTTATGCGGTGAAAGTATCAAACTGCATTTTACGTGATAGTCCTTCCAGAAAGAATCCCCAGAATTAAAAATATATCGTAAAAGAGCCAATTATAAATGGCATAATGCATATTTTCTAGTTCATGGGTAAATGCTATTTTTTTTCTACTGAAACCTTTGCACTGTATGTTTGTCTTTTTGTCATCTCCTGGATCCACCTATTCAAATATACTGTATTATTCCTCACACAATAATAGCATTTATTAATTTGCCATCAAAGGTAACTTAAATAATGTGCAATATGCCCTTTCCCGATCTAAAAACTTGCGCCACTAGTGAGTGACCCAATGCTGACAATGGAAGGACCAGTGACATGTGGATATTTATCAGTGAGTGGATGCAAAACAACTTCCTTCAGCTAAACGCAGACAAAACTGAAATGATTGTCTTTGGTCCCCAGAAACAAAGAGAGAGCGTCATCTGTCACCTACAGTCTCTCTCCCTAAAACCTTCAAACAAGGTCAGAAATCTAGGGGTAATACTGGACTCAGACTTAAATTTTAATAGCCACATCAAATCAGTAACATCAGCAGCTTTTTACCATCTAAAAAACATTGCCAGGATCAAAAACATAGTGTCTAAAGCAGACTTGGAGATTCTTATCCATGCATTTGTCTCCAGTAGGTTAGACTACTGCAATGGCCTGCTCACAGGTCTGTCCAAACAGGCTGTAAAACAGCTGCAGTACATTCAAAATGCAGCAGCTCGAGTCCTGACTAGAACCAGGAAGTACGACCATATTAGTCCGGTCCTCAGGTCTCTGCACTGGCTTCCTGTGGCTCAGAGAATAGACTTTAAAACAGCTCTGCTTGTGTACAAGTCTCTCCATGGCCTCGCACCAAAATATATTAGTGACATGTTAGTCCCATATGAACCAGCCCGGACTCTGAGGAGCACAGGGACTGGACTCCTGTTAGTGCCCAGAGTCAGAACTAAACATGGGGAGGCTGCTTTTCAGATTCATGCTGCTAAAATCTGGAACAGTCTTCCTGGAGATGTGAGACAGGCCTCCTCTCTGACAATGTTTAAAACCAGGTTAAAGACAGTTCTGTTTAGCTGTGCATACAACTGAGGGATTTTATATTTGTATCTTTCTTTTTAATGTTCTGTGATTATTTATGATTTTAATGCTTTCTTGTTTTGTTCAGCACTTTGAATTGCCTTGTGTATGAATTGTGCTATATAAATAAACTTGCCTTGCCTATTTACTGTATGTTTGAATAGAATGAGACCTGAACTTTTGTTGTGAGACGGACTTAATTGTTGAAGCACTCAAAATATTTGTAAATGCAGTTGTGTTTTTTTTCTTTGCTGTTTTATAGCAGAAGGGAATGTTTGTATATATTTCTAAAAAAAAAAAAGAATAATAGAAAATTAATAAAACGTTATAGTTTTAATTTTTTTTAATTCTTTGTCTTGAGATTTTTTCATTGTGATTATTCAAGTGTGTATTTTACAAGATGAGGACAAGCGATAAGCAACTAAGACATCAACCATCTATTTATTGTTTTTGATTGAATTAACATTTTCTGAATACATTTGATATGTCACTGATTCTTTATTGAAGTATGGCTTAAAGTCATGGTTTGTAATGAAACCATTCTACAGTTATTCATTTGGATTTCACCAACACAACTATGAACCGTTACTACTGTTATTGGATATCGCTTCTATATTGCTAAGGTGATGTCCTGATTGAGCCTTTCAAGTGAGGTAAAAGACATTTTACCGGTTGATATTAACCCCTCCCCTGACCCAGAAATGGGTTAGGGGAAGAAGATGAATGAATGTATGGATATTAACCCAGAGATGTACAGTATAGTTTCCTCAGAACATACATAAATAGCACAATTTGACCCACTTTGTAGCATTTTAGCTCGGATTTAAAAGGGAGTAAAAATTCAGTCCATTCACTGACAACAGTTCATATTGGGTGATCGAATATATTAGAGGCCACACAGTTTCAATGTTGGCATCAGACGTGAAAAAGCTAGATAGGGGGGGTCTTCTAACCAGGGGTTCTCAACTTGTGGGTTGGAACCCAAAAGTGGGTCTGGGATAATTGTTTTGTCTCACAATTCCCTTGGCATTTTTAAAATATGTATTTACTATACTGCAAGTAATATCACCCAGAAAGAAGTAACACCTTTTTATACAATTAAACATAAAAAATAAAGTCAAGTATTTTGTGAAAATACATTCTTCCATAGACATAATTACTCATTTCAAGAGGCTTTTAATCAATCAATTCAAATATACAGTATTTTGCTTTATTTATATACTAAATTCACTTGGTTCCAGTTGAGAAGTCAGAGTTGGGGGTGCTTATAATGTTCCGACTTATATTGATGTTGCAATTTTAAGGTATCGCCAGAACCATCGAGATCTGGTTCACATAAGTTTTCGCAAAGTCGGAATATACAGTTTAAACCGAAGTAGCACTTTTACAAGGACAGTATAACACATCCAAATCACCTTTTATAGTAAGTCCTAAACCCTCAAGTTGAAAAGTATACAACTTTATTTTCTCCTCCTCCTCAGCGTGGTGCTTGTGGCTGTATCAGTGCTGGGGCTATACAATAATCCCGCACTTATTCACGGCAGGATTAGAGTTGCGTTTGAAGGGCTTGACTTTGAAAGACGGGGTTTTACTGAAAAGCAAAATAAGGAATATCTGTCATCTCCATCTACTTCTTATCAGTGGGCCATAGTGGTATTTCTAAAGGCACATCTGGTCAGGATTTAAAGTAGTTACTTGTGGACTAAACCACTTCATTTAAGCATGGACAAACTCAATGCACCGTGCCATATCTGGAAATGTTAAACAATTCTTAACCTGTCAACAGCTTGAAAGTACAGTTTCAGAGTGCAAGTGCAAGTCTGGTCATGTACCAATGAATGACTTTGGTCTCAGTAGAAGTCATAGACAAGAAAAAAGCTACATAAGATGTTTGATACATAGTTGTAATGTAAAGGCTGCAAGTCTACTCTTGAATATTTGCACTACTGTTGTTTATAGACAGAGCAAGATTAAATTTATAATGTAAGAAAAAATACAAAGAATAGGCACAATCTTAAGCGGATGTGGAAATTACTTTACAAAAGTTATTTATTTCATTGTTTGACAACTTATACAAATAGATGTATGTTCTACAGCTTACAAAAAATGAAAGGTTAGTTACTTGTTACCTCTGAAGATGACAGCACAGCAAACAGTTTGACAAATGTGACATAAACAGTGTTTATAAGTTCAGTACATCTGCTGCTACATGTTCGCCAAATTCTCTGTGTATAAAATACTTTTAAAATGGTAAACTTGTTGTATCTTGTGTAAGTTTTATTACCCCCAAGAGGTAAGGTGATCAATGGTGTTTGTTTGCTTTTTCTCTGAGCAATATAACTCAAAAAACAAATGGAAGGATTTGGACAACATTTTCAGGAAAGGTGCGCAATAACCCAGTGACCAACTGATTCAATTTTGTAGGAGAACCGAATCTCCACCTGGATGCTTTTTTAAAGGAATTGAACTATGTCTCTTGGCGGAGGTCTGCTCTCTACAAGTGCTTTTTTTAGTTTCTGATTTTATCATTATGTTTTCAGAATAGTGAAAAAAGCATTTGTCCTCACTAGCCCTGAGTAAGTAAAATATTAGCATGAGCCTTAACGTTTTATAATGTGAGTTAAAATTAATTCTTCATATTTCAGTTCATATTGTTTTTGTTTCAATATTAAATAACAGCTAATGTGAAATGTGTTGGTAAGACTGACATTTTGGGCATTTTCATTATCTACAGTTTCACAGAGATGATTTCCACCCAAGGGCATTCAAGTTGCAACGCCAACCCAACGCGCTGAGCCCTCCACATCACATGGTTTAACCTCTGTGCGTCTCTATCAAAGCGCGTGTGCTATAGTCGCCTGTTTGAGTTGAGAAAGGTGTGAGAGCTTCAAGCGGAGGCCACCTGGTTCCCAGCCCCTCAGGTGTCAGGGAGGCAGTAAATATAAATGACAGTTAGCACTACCCCGAGGGCTCCTGCAGACTTCACTTCTCCTCTTCTGAATTCTTCAAAGCAAAAGGACCCAGCTCAGAGCAAGGGCAAAGGGGTGAAAGTAAAGTGCTGTGTTTTTGCTGCATTGTTGTCATATCCATCTGCAGAAGGCAACAATGTCGGCTTTCTATGAC